CTCGTGGGGGGACAGCTAAATATAGCTGTAGTCCTTAGACCCTATAGGAGAATTATCATTCAATTGATAGCACTTTTCTTAGTATATGGGATGTTTCTAGTTGGGCGATCTTCTGGACAACTTGTATGTCAATGTTACCTAGGACACTGTTAGTAAAATGTCTTTTCTCACGAGGCTCACAGCTCTCATTACTATTTGTTTATTATTATTATTGTTATTATTATTATTATTATTATTATTATTCATGCAATTGCATCAGATGTCTGGTGGTCATCGCTGAGGATTAAATGTCAGCAAATACTTTAAAGCCTCCAGCACCTTCCTCAGTATCCTCGCCGACCCCAACAACGCCGTAGTTTGTACATTTCCAACTCTTCCACGGATTTCAAACTCATTTAATCCCGATTTCTCAGGGATTTTTGTTTCAGATTCAAGTGCGCCTACTATTATGGGTACGATTCTAATCTTCATATTCAATACTTTTCTCAACTCCCGGGGAAGATCCTGACCTTTTCAAAATTTCTAACTTTCCTTCATGTTCCCTCAGCTGTGTCCATAATCTGTCAGGTTCTTTTTTATTATTATTATTTACACTTTTCCATCCCTTTCCTTAAGTGAGATGATCAGTCAAGGTATCGAGATTTCAAAATATTTTCTGATTTTTGCTTTCCAAGATTCCTGGTGATTCACTGGGGTACGGAAAGAGGGGGTAACGGCCACCCAGATTTTTGCCTTGCTGCCACCAATTTTTATACTCTATTATATAGAAATATAATGGATATTTTTTATCTTAAATTTCCGGAAAAAAGAATCGCACAATGTAACCAAACTATAGTTATTTTTTTCCGTAAAGTTTGTCTTGTTTGATAGTTGATACTAATTTTCTTAATCATTTCACCGCAAGCAAATCGGGAAATCCACTAGTACAAGGTGCGAAAGTGAGAGAAAAGACTGAGTATAGGGAGTATTGAGGAAAGGAGAAAAAAATGAACGAGATTCAAGAAGACAGAAGATGGCGATTGACGTTGCATTTAAATTTATGAAGATTGTAATTATCAGGAAAACAAAGAAACGGGAAGGAGTTCCACAGACGGGAAGTGCGAGAAAAACTGTTGGAGTAGCAGTGGCGGTTGCATTTACCTATTTCAACAAAGAAACGGTGGGACCTAGATTCCAATCTAGTAGCATATTTAAATTCATGCAGTCTGGGCACCGTGGAAAAAAAAACTCGTCAGAACAGTTGCCATGATATTTGTAGAAAAGACAGAGGGAGTCATGTTACGTCGGTGAGAAAGTGGCTGCAGTTGAGATCCCAAGTCAGGATCGATTACATTGAAGAACCTTCTTTGGATTTTGTCAAGAGCTTCGAGATGACTAACAGGAGCAGCAGACCAGATATGGCGACAGTATACAATGCCCCGACGAATGATAGATTTATAAATGTACAAGATAGACTCTGACGAGAAAGGCACACTGAAACAACTTTCCTTGCAGTAGATGCAGCTGTTGATTCGATGAGGTCGCTTGATAATTAAAAAGAGATTAGTCAATGTAAAGTACGTTGCAATTGCTCGGGCTAAGAAGAAAAAAACAGTTAAGATAAGACAGATTCACCTTATAAATGAAAAGAAAAAAGATACGATTTCATTTGAAAATACTTTTTCTTTAATACACAATTAATCAGAACTAGATATGTGAAAATAATTTGTGAAATAATGTCATTTCTTTTGGCCTGAGAAGCGTCCAGTCTCTCCTGGGAAAATCTCTCCCACGGGAAAGAACCAGAGTTATTATATGGTGCCTGAAGTAGCTCTAAAGAGGTAAGTACCGAAGGGGATTGTACTACTTTAAGACCTTGATCCCAGTAAGTCTTTCACATGGGATCACCACTTTAAGTTCTGCTTTTCATTCAAGTAGCCGTGCTGATAAATAAAAAGATCATTGTTTTTACTGCCATTATTATTTGGAGAAACTGCTTGATCTAGTTGTATTTTATTTAATAAAGTAATAAAGAGTGTTCCAATAATTTAGCCCAATTTTAAATGTGAATTAAGTTTAAGCGTCTAATGATTTTTTCTTTTTCTTTCAGATTTAACGACTTTGGCAATTTCAACCATGGAAAGATTAACAATGAAATACCTTGTTAAAGTTATCGAAGCCTATTATGGGCGTTCAAACAGGAATGCATCATCTCTCGAAACAGCGAAGTCAATTGGCCACCATGATCGTGCGACTTGATGCCTTTAGATTTCTTCCTTTGGGGTCATCTCAAAAGTAAGGTCTATGCCAACAAGCCAACAATACAACAGCTGAAGGATGAGATAATAAGACATATTGGTGATATCGAGGAGCAACTATGCAGAGACGATGGTTAAAATTTTTGACCATCGAGTGGAGATGTGCCGCCGAAGCCTTGGCGCACATTTGGGTAATATTATTTTTCACACATAATTACCATGACTTAAATAACATGATCCAATAGAGAAATAAATAAATTTTCACTAATAACACTGACTTATGAACTGCTGACTTTGATCCCTCTTAATGAAACACCCTTTATAACAATATTTCAAAAATAATTTCTGAACGTTGCGTATCTCGTGAAGGTGAAGCATAAAAATTTTAAAAATAAAATTCTCCTTATATTCCCTGAGTTTTGCACCTCCTTCCACACACACGGACGCATTAATCTTATCCTCCCACTATCACTACAACTGGTCCCACCCAACTATCTGATTGTCGCCAGTGTTCAACACAGTCTCTGATTTGTACTCCCAACAGAAGCTGCCCAGTCTTCCCTTTCCAGCCTCGATAGAGTCCAAAAGTGTCTCCGCGTCCTTGTAGGTGATGAATTATTTTCCACCCTAAAATCCCTTTCCCACAGACAAAACATCGCAAGTCCCTCGCTTCTCTTTCTCTATTTCCATGGAAAGTGCTCAGACGAGCTACATTCCTTAGTTCCACCAGTTCTAACATTCACGACTAAAACCCACCCTGCCACGCACATTGTAAGGAACCATCCTCATTCCCTTCGTATTCCATTGGTGAGATGTAAGTTCCAATCGAGCATCTTCTTCCCACGAACCGCTGCTTTGCGGAACTGACTCCCAAGGGAATGCTTCCCGATCACTACAGTCTTAATATATTCAAATCTAGAGTTAACCGTTATCTTCCCCACATATCCCTAAAAATTATGCCACTTACTATGCATCCATCTAGCTTGAGTGGCTCTTGGGCTTTGAACAGGGTGAATATGATTGTAAAATAATTTAAAAAATTATTATTATTAATGATACTATTATTTTTCCTTATTATTTTTCTCCAAAACTTTTTTGTCGATATAAACTTTGTGCCCTAGGGAAAACTACTTTGATGACTGAATAACGGCTCTATGAATTTATATGAATAAAAGATGTTGTCCGAGGAAAAGGCTGAAACGCTTTTACATCAACTCTCTTTTTACCTCGTCTTAAGCAATGACCACAATCCCACATCCTGTGAAGTTAGCGAATGATGTCACAAGTATTTGTTATCTCTGAAACGCGCATGACAGATAAACATCTGCGCATGCTCAAAACTTACACAAACTTCTGTATCATTCTTTGAACGTATATGTGTGCGTCTCCACACATAGTTTTGAGTCGACAGGCGAAACAGTACACGATGCATGTTATCAAATGTTTGAAACGGGTGGACGGGATCAGATGCCTACATAAAGGATTTTAAAAATGACTGACAGATTAATCCGTTTTCTTATTTCCTCAAATACTTGAAAATAAATTTCCCATTTTTAGCCCCGAATTAAGAGTCTAGTCTACAACAAAAATTATCGTCTGCTTTGTGCCCATTTTTTTCTTCTTCCTTTTCTTGACATTCTTTTCAGAATAAAACTTTTGATTTGGAGAGGATATTATGCCAAAGCTAATATGATATGATATCTCTGGAAATCTTTGTTAACTTAAAGTATTAGATTCCGATAGAAAACACTTTGCATAAAAACAAGTAGAAAAGAATTAATTTTTAAAAATAAGTAGAGAATTGGATTCAATTTAAATTGGAACAAGATTTAATTTAATTTTTGTGTGTGTGTGTCTGTGTGCCGACAGCAGTGGGTAAATGGGTGGAGAAGTAATCCCAGCGAAGGAATAAGATCTGATGTTAATCTTTTGGTGAGTTGTTATATTGTTGTTATATTGTTATATTTATTATTATTATTATTATTATTATTATTATTATTATTGTTGTTGTTGTTGTTACCATCAGAATTACTATTATTATTGTTGTGGTTGCTGCCATCAGCATTATTATTATTATTATTGTTGCCGTCAGCGTTATTATTGTTGTTGTTTTTAGTAACATCAGCATTAGTATTATTGTTGCCATCAACAGTATTATTATTATTTATTGTCGTTATTATCATCCGCATTATTAATATTATTAACATTAATGTTGTCATTGTTACCATCAGCATTATTATTGTTGTTGTTTTATTAATTTAATATTGTTTTAGTGATTCGTAATTGGTAATAGTTCTGGGTTTGATCGGCTATGATGGAATGTTATTTGTCCGGTGTTGTGCATTCAGATTTGTGTTTCTCCGTTTTAATTCTTTGAGCCCTGACCACCGTTTTACCGGTGTTAGAGAAATATGACTTAATGTCCAGCTACCGGTTGAACGGTGGGTAAACACTTGTAGCTATTTTTATATCTACAGTGAAACATTACATACCAATTATTTGAGAATTTTGGTTTGGTTTGTTTAACGGCATAATCAACCTCAAAGGAGTTATTTGAAGTCGACAAATTTTTTATTGGTGGTAATATTTTTTAAATGTATTTCTGGTAATATTTTTTTCTTCAGAAAATCTATTTCTGGTAATATTTTTTGCCTTGCTTGGGGTGAAATGATTAAAAAAAAACTGATAGGCTAGCTTGTTAGCCGTTACCCTACATCGAGGCAGCCATTTCACAAGGTGGCCTTTGTAATATCCCTGGGGTCGATGTTTAGCCAAATCTATCTCTTAGTTCTTCTTTATTTCCGTGATGTTATCAGCTCGCTATATGCTGTCTTTATTTCCTATCGATACACACCACCACGTCGGACGAAAGGTGCTCTTAACTAAGTCCAATCGAACCCACCCTATTCTGGGGACAAACTAGAAGGAAAAGAAACGGGCCGTTTAGTGCTACAAGAAAAAAAAAGGCTGGAATTTTAAGAAAAGATAATAGCTGAGCAAGTAGCATTGTCTCGCCTTATCCTTATTCGCTTATGTTAGGAGCTAGGCGCCGTTTCCTGTTTTGGAAATTCTCTGGATGCTTTGCTTCCTTTTTTGGTTTTTGGCTTTTTGTTTTCTTTATTTTTCTTTTGATTTTCGTCTTTTTGCCCCACTTTTCTTATCACTTTTTTTTTTTTGCGTTTCACTCTTTTGTCTTTGAGGATCATCAATAAAAAATGCAAAACTGGTTCGAATTCCAGCCAAGACAGAGCATGTACGTGGCACAAAGCTGCCTTTTTAGTACCATCGCCAGTTTGGCGTGACTAATGATCAAGTTTGTGGCGTTTCTCAATCATTGACAATTGTGATTAAGTTTCGGCCATTGTATCATTTGGCCCTCTTCAGGAGTCGGTCGACCCGGATAACCTTCAGAGAGTTTCAAACTGGACACTTAATTTAATCTACGGGAGTAGATTGTTCTCTCTCTGTCCTTTCTGCTCTCTCTCTCTCTCTCTCTCTATATATATATATATATATATATATAGTCTCTCTTTGCTCTCTTGCTCTCTCTCAGCTCTCTCTCTAATCTCTCTCTCTCTGAATTTGCTCTCTCTCTCTCTCTCTCTCTTTGCTGTTTCTCTCTTGCTATTTCGCTGTTCTCTCTCTTTGTTCTACCTTTGCTCTTTCTCTCTCTCTCTCTCTCTCTCTCTCTCTCTCTTTACACTATCACTCTCATCTCTTTCCCCTCTCTCTCTCTTTACACTATCACTCTCATCTCTTTCCCTCTCTCTCTCTCTCTCTCTCTCTCTCTCTCTCTCTCTTTGGTGTCTCTCTTTGCTTTCTGTCTCTTTGCTTTCTCTCCCTGTTTTTGCTATCTCTTTCTTTGCTATTTCTCTCTCTCTCTCTCTCTCTCTTTCTTCTCTCTCTCTCTTTCTGCTCTCTCTCTCTCTTTCTGCTCTCTATCTTTTTTTACGCTCTCTCTCTCTCTCCTTGCTCTATTTGTATTTGCTATCTCTTTCTTGTTGCTCTCTCTCTATTTTCTCTCTCTCTCTCTCTCTCTCTCTCTCTCTCTTTCTCTCTGTTCCTGCTCTCTATATCTTTCCTTTCTCACTTTGGTTTTGCTTTCTCCCTCATTGCTGTCTCTCTCTCTCTCTCTCTGCCCTCTCTATCTCTTTTTACACCCTCGCTCTCCTTGCTCTCTTTCTATTTGCTCCCTCTTTCTCTTTGCACTCCCTCTGTTTCTGCTCTCTCTTTGCTCTCTCTCTGCTTTCTCTGTCTCTTTGCTCTCTCTTTGCCCTTTCTCTCTCTCCTTTACACTCTCTCTTCTTGCTCCCACCCTATTTACTCTCTTTTTCTCTTTACTCTCCCTTTCTCCATTTGCTCTCTCTATTTGCTCTTTCTGTCTTTGCTCTCTCTTTGCTCTCGTTCTCTCTCTCTCCTTTTGTTCTCTCTCTCTTTGCTCTCGTTCTCTCTCTCTCTCTCTCCCTTTGCTCTCTCTCTCTTTGCTCTCGTTCTCTCTCTCTCTCTCTCTCTAGGTTTGACTTTTCTGTCTGTTTTGCTCTCTCTCTCTCTCTCTCTCTCTCTCTCTCTCTCTCCCCCTTTGGTCTTTCAATCCTTGATTCCTCTCTCTCATTCTCCTCGGTTAATTATTCAGTTACTATCTCCATTATCTTGTTTCCATTACGTGTGAGAATCTCTCGTAGTAAAAAATATACTTAAATATATAAGCTCAACGAAGACAGGACTGCCAGTTTATAGACAATTTAACCAAGACGCGCAATCCCTAGACATGAGTCCTGGGTATGACGATAAAGTACATCCGGCAGCAAGTCTTCCGATAGATTGGAGAGTTTGAGGAGCGTTGAACCACCTCTTAATTGCTTTTCTTCCCAGGTCTACCTGACCTGGAGTGGGAGCACCTGCTAGGTTTCCAGCTATGGGCAAATAGTGACCTTATAAACAACAATAAAACACTATGAAAGTATAAAAAGTACATTTTATAATAAAAATGCCAGCAATACATTTTTATATAAAAGATTACCAACAATACATATTTCACTATTTACATTATTCGGACTATTGTACTCAACGAGGATTTCTTCAACAGAATTACCAATGAAGAAGACCAGAGAAGGATCCAAAATGACCTGAATAAATCCTTCAGACATGAATTTGATGTGGTCAAGGCTCGCCAAGTGCAAAAATTAAATAGATTGAAATATCAGAAGATGACGCACAAGGTCCATCACACACCAGTGAAAGCAGTAATCAACATCAGCCAATATCAGCTGAGTGACTCTGAGGAGTCAGTATTGAATAAGGGTCTCAACTTTGCCACAACCATCAGGCGAGTGCCAAACTTGGACATCATTGCCGGAGTCGAAGAGGTGGCCTTGATGGAAGGTCAAACATCACGAAACTGGACAGGCTGGCGATCAGATCCCTACAGAGGAACGATATACAAAGATGAGGAAAAGAGTCCGAATAAGGTAAATAGTGTACATAATACCACATCTCAGAAATATAGACAGATACTGAAGGATCGGATAAATATGGCAACAAAGATGAGGAAAATAGTCCGAATAATGTAAATAGTGGACATAATACCTCATCTCAGAAATACTGACAGATACTGAAGGGTCCGATAAATATGGCAACAAAGATGAGGATAATAGTCCAAATAATGTAAATAGTGTGCATAATACCTCATCTCAGAAATACTGACAGATACTGAAGGATCGGATAAATATGGCAACAAAGATAAGGACAATAGTCCGAATAATGTAAATAGTGTACATAATACCTCATCTCAGAAATATAGACAGATACTAAAGGATCGGATAAATATGGCGACAAAGATGAGGAAAATAGTCCAAATAATGTACATAATACCTCATCTCAGAAATATAGACAGATATTGAATACATATTTCATCAAGCATTAATTAACCCATAGAGGTTGATAGGGATTTTTTAAGCATAGTCTCTCCTGCTATTTACGCATAGCTTGGGAGAGAAGAAGAGGATTCGTACCTTCCTCAAGGGTATTAGAACGTAAGTGAATGTAATGGATCCGACTGGAATTCGAACTCGGCTCTCCGATTCCTCAACCTAAGCCGCTGTCCACCGTGCCTCATAAAAACAAAATTCAGTATATTTATTTTCAGTATATGAGGATATTTTTATTGCATGTAATTTTTTTTTTCTTCAAAAATCTATTTCTAGTGATATTTTTTCCTTCAAAGATGAATCGCTGAGAATATTTTTTCAAAAAATGTAAAGCTGGTAATTTTTTTTTTTTTAATAAAATGTATAGGTGGCAATTTTTTTCCAAAAATGTATTGCTGGTCATGATTTTTTTCTTCAAAATTATTATTTTTCAGAAAGTATTTCTGGTATTAAAACTTATTTTCACACTTTCATAGTGTTTTGACCCCAGTTCGGGGGTTAACTATTTGCTCATGGCTGGGACCCTATTAGGTGTTACCACCCCGAGTCAGGGTGGACCTGGGAACACCAGCAATTAAGAGGTGGTTCCATGCTCCTCAAAACTTAACCGAGGCCCTGCTGTCGGACATAGTTTATCGTCATACCCAGGACACGAATTTAGTTTATCGTCATGCCCAAGACGGCTTGGTGGTCGAATTGGGTTCACTTACTTAATTTAAAAGTCTATCAACACTTGCTAGGTCGTTGAAGGTCGAATATATCATAATGAATCAATAGTTTGGTACACATAGGTTCAGTTTACACTTGAGTTGAAAAACTAAATACAGGTTTGCAACAGAAAATAGTAATATTATCAGTTTACAGTAGAATCAAAAGCTATACATAGATCCGGTTTACACTATAGTCAAAAAGATAAAAATATAGGTCCACTTTATACTAGATTAGAACAGATAAACATAGGTTCGAAGTGCACACAATTCAAGAAAGTAAACACGGGTTCGGTTTACACGAGAATCAACAAGGTAAATATAGGCCCGTTTTACACTCGATTAAAAATAGACATATGTTCGCTTTACACGAGAGCCAACAAACTAAACCTAGATCTGGTTTACATTAGAATCAAGAAGGTAGACATAGGTTTGGTTTACACTAGAGTCAGGAAAATAGATATAGGTCCGGTTTACACTAGAGTGAAGAAACTATATATTATTTACATTATTCGGACTAATGTCCTCATCTTTGTCGCCATATTTATCACAATGTTTCAGCCGTTGTACGCTCTGGCCTTCTTCAAGTGGTTGGAATGTCGAACTGAACTCTTTATTTCGCTCACTGGGGTAGACTGTTCTAGTTTCACGTGCCATGTTTAATGGATGTCAGTTATCAGTTATCTCCTGTTAATTCCCCTCTGCAAGTTCTCCACTGCCTTAACCGGGTATTGAACTCACACTCTTTAGGTCTTGTCACTGGATCTAACCAACGCCTTCATCCACTCATTTGTGTATGAATTTCTGGGTATTTTGAACCTAATGTCTTCAGCGACTATTTTTTTACCAGTGCTCATATTGCAAATTTTGCTGTTATTAATTCAATTTTTTTACCAGAGCTCATATTGCAATTTTTGTTGTTATTATTGTTTTTTTTTTCTGGCACTCCTTATTACTGGTTCCCATATTGTATTCATTTCTATGCTTGGTCGGCTCAGGAGATTTTTGTAGCCTAGCATATGTGCTGATTCCTTAAGTTTACGAATTTTCCATTGGTGTTCTTTGTCTATGATCTCAACCGGATCCCACAGAGAGCGGTGATCTCCCTTTTCTTTCCATATGTGGTCAGCCACGCCTGATTTTTCCACTTCCCCTCGTGTTACAGCTTTCTGGTGTTCTTGAAGCCTTACCTTAAGTGGGCGGCCCATTTCCCCTTTATATTTCTTTCCACAGCTGCACGGGATAGCATACACACAGTCTTTAGTCATGTTTTCCTCTATGGGGGGGTCTTAATCGGGAGAGATATCTGCGAAGTATCGTCCAGCTTTTCAAGGTTGTCCTGATGTTATATGGACCGCAGATCCTTTGTATTTTCTCTGCTAAACCCTTCACATAAGAATTCTGTCAGAGAGTTGGAAGTATTTCAGAACGCATTTCTTCGGGCATTGGTATAGCATTAGTTCTAACAGAAAATCAGTATTTTCAGCTTTGGAAGCATCTCGTTTACTTAAGGTTTACGTTACAGAAATTAATTTTCCTGTATTTAATGGCAGATATTCTTAGTTATAAAACATTGTAAGGTATGTTGTGTATTTTTACTTTCAAGAACGTTGTCTTCCCTCAGCGTACAATTTGGTACTTATCAGTATCGGGTTCATTAAATTTTGTTTTCCTTTTTATCTCATTTTCTTTTCTCATTTTTCCTCTTTTTTCTTCGGACTCTTTTTTTTTTTCTGTTACGTTTTTTTCATTTCTTTTTTCGTTTCTTTACTTGTCTTCTTCTTTTTTCTTTTTTCTTTTTTCTTTTCCTATTAGAAATCAGTGTGTCTACTTATGTGCATATATCCTTTCTCTTCTCTTTCTCATTATTATGTCTTTTCTGTATTTAAGAAAGAAATCCTCGCCCCTTTTTTCGTGTCTACTCTTATTTCGCCTTCTCTACGTCCATTTAGAGTTTTTAAAAGAAAGAAAGAAAGAAAGAAAGAAAGAAAGAAAGAAAGAAAGAAAGAAAGAAAGAAAGAAAGAAAGAAAAGATTTTCAGAACGGAAATTCACCCACCAAGACACAAAATTCGGTCACGGTCCAGTGCTTATGAAAAGTGCATTTCGTATCAAAGATAGCGACAAAAACAAACACAAAAGGAAATGGATAAAAAAAAATACTAAAAAGCAAAATTTAACAAAAAATAAAAATGGACTCTTGATTTTCATTTTTTTTTTTCTTTAGATAAAAATCTGGTTAAAAACAGAATTTGAAAAGACTCACATCCCAGAATATCTCCATTTGTAATGCCATTTTTAAACTTTTCTTGTTTTTCATTTTAAAATTCAAAACAAAAAATTCATGACCGACTTTTATCTTGTGTCCATTTTTGCCTCGTTTTGATATTTTTTTTATTTCTTTTGCTTGGACTCCAATTTATTTTTCTCTTTTATCACTTTTCCCGTTTTCTTTCGAAAGATACGACACATTAAGCTAAGCCGAAGCCTCTTGATAATTACTAAATTGGGGTTAGCCCGGCAATGAGGTGCTATTTTGTTTGTTTTTTGTTTGTTTTTTTTTTTGTTTTGTTTCGTTTTGTTTTTGGGGGTATTATACAGTCTTTTTTTTTTTATCAATATCTTCATACTGTCGTTTTTTTCTTGGGAAAAATACTGGAGTCGTCCTCCATTGTCTTCTCCACGGTTCTGAATTTAGACTTGTCCATTGAAAGCCATTATTGACTCCGTCCTAAAGTGACATGACATGTCTTTATTTATTTTAATACTGTTTTTTTTTTAATAGTTATCTCTTTTATGCTATATGTACATAACTTACGGACATAAATTACAGCCCAGAAGTGTTTAGGGAATTTGCTTGATGGCTAAGATCCTTGCATGTCTCCTGCTGGCGGCAGTGGCAAGTATTTTTTGTTTACAAGATATCACAAAATACAATACACAAGAGCCACTCAAGCTAGAGGGTTATAGCCTAAATGGTAAAGACGAGTTATGTTTCTTTATAAAAGCCGAGGAGAAAGTGGTAGAGAGTGGATAATATGAGGATAAGTAGGATAGATAACAATTGACCCATGAGTGGAAGAGGTCAAGGTTAAAGTGTTCAATGAACCTGTCACATACTTGAGATCAAAAAAGCAAGCTTGGACGAAATTTAATTCAGGGCAAGTTATTAGTACTGCTTGTTGTAGCGCAAGGCAAACCATAGTTGTCTCCCCCTAGAACTACTCGACTATAAAAGAAATGGTCAAACCTCACTTATGGGCAGTAAACAAATAGCGTAATGAATTGCAGCTCGGATTGGGGAATCGGCGAGCCGAGTTTGAATTCCATTTGAGTTTATTACATTCACTTATGGGTAAGGTATGAATCCAACTCTTCTCCCCCAGCTATGGGTAAATAGTAGGACAGACTGTGTCCTATAGCCTTCGGGGCCAACCGGTCTAGGAGACGAAAAATTCTGAATTCAAAGCCGTATGTAGCCCTGGCGAAGCACATACAATGCAGCTAAGGAAAGGATTGTCCACAATGGCACGATGATCCTGACTACGATCGATTCCTTAACAGACTGTGTTCTATAGCCTTGAGCGTATTGTAACCCAGAACTACATCCTTTGGTGAGGTGATGACTGCCACCTATTTCTTTTGCCTACAGATTGACAATGATAGACTGGAAACTTATAAAGTGTTAATTCAATAGGAAAGTTATTTCCAAATATATCACCCTACCAACTGATTTGAATCAGAAATCTCTCCATGTAATAACCCAGTACTACTTGCGACATAACACCTAGAGAAGAGATGGGCATTGCGATAAAAATTTAAAAATAAAATATATCATTTTTTGGCCGCCCTTTGTTTAAAAAAAAAAAATTCCTCGGTGTTTAAATTTGCCTGATTTTCGCTGACAAACTTTACCTGAACGTTGGTTTCGAAAAGGACATCCAATCTGTCTCCAAAACAAAACCCCTCTTATTTACCCACCACAGAGGAACCTTCCTGCCTCCTATCAGAATAAATGATGCTCAGCTTCAAGAGAGCGTCTCTTGGCGCCTTCTTAGTCTCAAGTTTTCCATTGACCCGAGGTGGAACAACTCCATTGAATCAATAGCTTCATCTACCGCAAGGAAAGTTGTTTCTGTGTCGCGCCAGGTTTTTCTCGTCTGAGTCCATAACTTCAAATCTACAAATCTTCTATTCGTTTTTTACATTGAATACTGTTGTCATATATGTTCTGGTGCCTCCGCTGTTGAAAGACGGATATGCAATGCAATAGGTCCTGACCTGGCATCTCGACTCCAGTCACTTTCTCACAGACGTGATGTGGCTTCCCTCTGTCTTTTCTACAAATATTTCCTAACGAGTTATTTTCACTGGTGCCACAACTGCATGAATTTAAGCGTGCTACTAGATTGGCATCTCGGTCCCACCCTTTTACTGTTGAAATAGTTAAATGTAACCGACACTTCTACTCCAACAGTTTCTTTTCTCGCACTTCCCGACAGTTCAACTCCCTTCCTCTTACTTGCTTCCCTGATAACTATAATCTTCAAATATTCAGATTCCCCGACTTTCTCTTTATCCTTTCCTCAAACACCCCCTCTTTGCTCTTACTTTCACTCTCTGTGACCCCTTGCGTGCTAGTAACACTCCCGCCTTGTTTGGAATGAAATGCTTAAAAAAAAATCTCCATTCTTTGTCCCTGCAGAGTCTTTCTGTGTCTGCCATCAACACGCGGTCATTCGCGTATCTTATGATTTTAAGATTGCATCCACCAATAATAAATCCTGCTAGAAATTTCAGTGAAGAAATTATCCAGCATTCACTGCAGTGATTCCCAAACCTTTTTTTTCTCTGAGCCACATTCTTGGAATGAAAATTTCCTCGTGCCTCACCAAATTCTATGCGATAAGAAGTACATTAAAAAAAACAAAAACAAAGAGAGTGTTAAAGGGAGATAACCGAGGATTCAAAGTCAGAAAATTATCCTTGATAACTCTCTCCTCCAATTTGCAGACCCCAGTTACTATATTATATTCTTAATACTTGATATAATGCAAAAATATCACAATGATAAAATCAGTCAATAATTATCTATAACTATTTATACTGAGACTCATACATGCAATTACAAGTAATACATAATAATATTTTAAATTTTGAAATCACATTTATTTTTGGCATATGGATATTCTGAAACTGTTTCTAAATCTATGATTGGCTTTCAATCATTCCGCCTCACCGGCTATCCTCTTTCGCCGCACGTATGAGACGAGCCGCACAGTTTGGGGAGCACTGCCATATAAGAAGATTAGTATCACATAGCAGTTCAGCACTTTCTTTTTAGTTTCTAACGAAATTTTCCTGTTTCTTCATACTTTGCTTAGTTTTTGGATGGCAACTTTCACTATTCCAATGCGCCTTCGCTGTCATATTTTTGCCCAGTATTTTTTTTTTTTAAGTTCAAATCTGTAAAGTTCTGTACTTGCTGGATTTTGACTTCTCCAATTCGTAGGTCGAATTTAAGCTGTTCGCCTCGCTGACAACTATCTATTCCGTCTTTTTCCAATTGATAGTTAGTCCTTTCTTCTCACTTTCCTTTACTGCATTGTCTGTACGTTTCTGCGGTTTTCTTGCTGAATGCGTCTTTTACTAATCCAATACGCCTTCGGATTTCCGTGTTACATTTTCCGTCTTCTGTTAAAACAATTCCTATATGTTTAAATTTTAATCATTTAGCCCCAATCAGGGCGATAATGCCACTAAGACGTAAGGGGGTTATGAAGTATGAAAGAGAATGAGAATATTTCAATGAGGAGAAAGGAAAATAAAAGAAGTGTTTTCAGGAAGACGATTGACGCTGCATTTACATTTTTGAAGATCGTAGGTGGCAGGGATGCAAGAAACTGAAAAAAGAGTCCCACGGGTGAGAAGTGCGAGAGAAGAAACTATTAGAATAGAACTTACGGTTGCAGCTATCTATTTCAACGATGAGACCTAGTAACCAAGGAAATAATACGTTTAAATTCATGCGGTCAAGATACCAAAGAGGAGAGCTCATTAGAGAAACTATCGTGAAAATATTTATAGAAAAGACAGAGGAAAACCACGTCACAGCGGTGGGGAAATGACTGAAGCCGAGATGCCAGGTTATTACCGATAACATTACAGATCCTTCTTTGGATTTTGTCGAGAATCTCGAGATAGATAGCCGAAGCACCAGACCAAAAATGGCAGCAATATTCAATGCAAGGACGAATGGTAGATTTATAAATGGGAAGGATGGATTCTGCTGAGAAAAAGTGGTTGGCACGACTCGGCGAACCAACTTTCTTCCCGTCCTGCGTAAGACGATAAACTACATCCGCGTCCTGGGTATGATGATAAACTACATCCGCGTCCTGGGTAAGACGATAAACTACATCCGCGTCCTGGGTATGACGATAAACTACATCCGCGTCCTGGGTATGATGATAAACTACATCCGCGTCTTGGGTAAGACGATAAACTACATCCGCGTCCTGGGTATGATGATAAACTACATCCGCGTCATGGGTAAGACGATAAACTACATCCGCGTCCTGTATATAACGATAAACTACATCCGCGTCCTGGGTATGACGATAAACTACATCCAGCAGCAAGGCCTCTGATCAGGAGGTTTTGAGGAGCGTGGAACCACTTGCTGGTGTTCCTAGATCCATCCTGACCCGGGTTGGTAGCACCTGTTAGGGTCCCAGCTATGGGCAAATAGTTAACCTAGTTAACCCCGAACTGGGGTCAAAACACGACGAAAGGGTAAAGTAGGTTTTAATACCA